CTTGCTGCCCAGGCGGGTCTCGAACCCGCGGGCTCAGGCAATCCACTCACCGCAGCCTCCTAAAGGCGCGGGATTACAGGCTGAGCCACCGAGCCCGGCTACACCCATTTTTTTTGAGTTGGAGTCTCACTCTGCTGCCCAGGCAGCCTCGACCTGCTGGGCTCAGGAGATCCCTTCACCTCAGCCTTCCAAATAGCTGGAGCTACAGGTGTGCACCACCATGCCCAGCCAAGTCTTTTGATTTATTGTAGAGGTCTCATTATTTGCCCAGGTTGGTCTCGAATACCCGAACTCAGACAATCCTCTCACCTCTGCCTCCCAAAATGCTGGAATTATAGGCATGAGTCACTGCACCCAGCCAAACACCCATCTTTTAAAATGTGAAGGGCTTCCAAGTAGAGTGGAGGTGGCCACCTCGGAAGGACACACTTGGGCCAAGATGGGAAAACTAAGGTGGAGATCCAGCTTCAGTAATCAGAGGGCTGCGGCTAGAACCCCTGAAAGCGCAGGGCTGGAAAAGGGGAGAGGGAGCTGGCTTTTTAGCTGGGCTCCAGAAAATTCTGTGAGCACCAGGATGAGCCTAAGGTGTGCCAGCTGGGGTTCGTGCTTAAATGAAAGGAAAATGTTTCACAGAATGAACACTATTAATTCGACACTGAGTTGGATGTGGTGGCTCTCCTGCTCTGTCGGTCTTCAGGATCTTAAAGGGCTTCAGTGTCCACCCTCATCCTCCAGTTTAGGCTGAGGGGCAGATTACATTTATGAAGAGCTGTGATTTGTGTGTTCCTCTATTTTCCCTGAAGTTTTATCAATTGTCTTCAATGCCTTGTCCCCTGGACACTCACATAACCTCTCGAGTACCTTTGAGTAGTGTGTGTGTGTGTGTGTGTGTGTGTGTGTAAATCCTTTTTTTTGAGTCGGAATCTCACCCTGTTGTCCAGGCTAGAGTGCAGTGGCGGGCTCACGGCCACCACAGCCTCGACCTGCTGGGCTCAGAGGATCCTTCTAAGTAGCCGGAACACGGGCACACACCACCACGCCCGGTTGATCCTTTTATTCATTGTAGAGATGAGGTCTCTCCATGTGGCCCGGGCTGCTCTCGAACCCCTGGGTTCAGGTCGTTCAGGTCATCCAAGTCTGGGGATGACAGGCGTGAGCCACCGCGCCCGGCCCCTTTGAATATACATTCTGTCTAAAAGACGTGTTGTGTTATCCCTCCCGTCCACAGACCTTGGATCTTGTTGTTGTTGATGATAGTAGTAGGCTTTTTTTAAAAAATGAAAGTAGTTATTTTTCATTTGAGAGATGTGGGGTAAAACAGAGTTTTGCTTCTTTTTGTTTTTAATGCATGAACGACAAGGTGTGGGAAGTCCCGGGAGAGACACCATCCTCCTCGATTTTACTCCGCGGCCGATTTCCAAGGAGTCCTTCTTCTCCAGATAAACAATGTCTAATGGTCAGGAACCTGAACTTAAAATCGCTTTCTTAAAAATAAAGAAAAAATAAAGAAGGGGAGGGACAACGGGACACACGCACCCATGCACGCACAGGCCGTTTTAAGATGCGCCCCCGCTTCGCTCCCCCCGCCCCCGCTTCCCCCCTTCCGCTCCCCCAACC